TTTGTTGAAGTCCAACTTACCAATTTCTTTTATCACCTTCGGTTTTATATCTAAGAAAGTATTGCCTAATCCAAGATCATGAAGATTTACTCCTATATTTTCAAAGAGTTTTATAGTTTAGGCTTACGTTTTGGTCTACAATCTACCTTGAGTTAATTTTTGTGTGTGGTGTAAAGTATGGGTACAAATTTATTCTTCTGCATGTGGCTATCCTGTGGTTCCAGCACCATTTGTTGAAAGAAACTATTCTTTCCCCGATTGAATTACATTGAAACCTTTGTCGAAATTATTTAACCATAAATGTTAGGGTTTGTTTCTGGAATCTCAATTCTTTTACACTGTCTATCATTATGCCATCTTGTTTCTGGACTTTATTAAGACCCATCCATCTACAGGACATTTACAATTGCTGTTCCCTCTGCTTGGAATAGTTTTTTATTTTTCTTATTGTTCATTGCTTGATTCTTTACATCATTCACATTTCTGTTCAAATGTCACATACTCAGAGATGCTTTTTTTCTCTACTTTATCTAAAAAAGTTCCTCACCCTCAATCAATCACTCTAATTAACTTTCCTACTTTATTTTTTTTTCACCGCTCATCTCACTATCTGAAATTATTTGTTGTTTATGTTTACTACCTGTTTTCCTTATTAGAATGTAAGTACCATGAGGTCAAGGGTTTTTTTTACCTGTTTGGTACTTAGTATAGAATCAATAAGTATTTGCGTAATGAAGACATAAATCATGATTTCTGCAACAATTTTCATTTTCAAAGCTATAATTTTTTTTTCAAAGTAGTTGATTAAATAATTGAAGCCCTCTGAAAAATTGTCACACCTTCTAAAAACTCATCATATTTTCATAAGGAGCCATCATATACTTTTGATGATACATATTTTAAGTTATCCTTGGTTGTGCATGCAAATTATTTCATTCATTCATTTATTCAATCAAAATTTAATTGAGTGCTATGTGCAGCCATCATTCTAGTCAAAGAAGAGACAATATATTAGATATAAGGAGATAATTCAGATGTCCTACTTGTGTAAAAAACTGTGTACATGTGGATGTCTCTTTAACAGAGCTTCTCTATGATCACACTCCCAGGGTTCAGGCCTGGAAATGGCCTCAGAAGTAAAATGTTCTTAGTTACAAGCTTCCTCCTTTATGTCTCAGACATTAAAAACCCTGCAATGGGTCAAAACGTTACCTTGAATTTTACATGATATAGAATATTTGAGGTTTTGTTGTTTCAGTTCCCAAAGGATTTTCAAAGAAGTGTATTATTAGTTTTGTAAACAAAAGACAAGAAAAGTCTTCTTTTGTAGTTGCAAGTAAGCAAAGTTCTCCTAGATGTTTTAACAGCTGGACACTTGATTATAAATGACTCGATCTAATAAGATGACTTAAGCAAAAAAGAGAATGTTTGACTCATGTAAGCTGAAACTCCAGAGATGGGGGCATGCTTCAGATAAGACTTAATGCTAGGATCAACAGAAGTCATGACCTGTCTCTCCATGGGTTGTTTCCTATCTCAGAAGAGTTTTCCCCTCATGGTAGAAAGATGGCTTCAAGAGCTTCAGATCTTTTCAGGTTTAAAACTAGCAAGAAAGAGCAAGATTCTCTTTCCTGGAAATCCTAATTTTCATTTTATTACTTCTTTTATGTTTGGGTTACCTGCCTATCCTGTAAACAATCACATTTTTTAGGGGACACAGTGCTATGTTTTAGGTTTAGATAGCATGACTCATCTAAAGCATACAGGCTCAGAATAGGGGAGTGGGTAGTTCTTCAAAGAGAAATTAAGGTATAGCTACCAGACGAAGGATGAATAGATCTTGGGCAGCAGAAACAACAGGTATCCGCTAAAAACTTTATAATACTGCTGGAAAAGAGAACGGTCACTAGAAAACCAACTCATTACAGCATCACCAAGTATCTTTCTGTAATGCCACTCCCTAATCCTGAATTTCACCTCCCAGAACACACACGCGCGCGCGCACACACACAGAGCTATTTCCTCTGTTCCTGCTACTGGGTTTTAGAGCATAGTGGGACCATACTCCCTAATCCTGAATTTCACCTCCCAGAACACACACGCGCGCACGCACACACACAGAGCTATTTCCTCTGTTCCTGCTACTGGGTTTTAGAGCATAGTGGGACCAGATCAGACCATTACCTTCCACAGATTATAGATTATGACCTCAGAGGGGCTCACTGCAATATAACAATCTATTTCATCATGAAGACCTCTCTAAAATAAGACCCAGTATTTTAATTAGCGTAAGATTAACACAGACCAGAAGTATCAAGTAAAGTCAAATGATGGAAGCAGACTCTGAAAGAAGCAAATACATCATTAATTCCCAGACTATTGCTAATGTTTTCAGCTAAAAATTCCATTCTTTGAAATCAGTCTCTTAAAAGAAAATTGAAATACTGATTCTCATAAAATAAGCCTCCTAGACCTGACCTTTTGCTAGAACACTGCATTTCCTCTTTGCTAATCCTCTTAATTTCAGACTGCTTCTTAGCTGTGAGGTATTTCCTCCTCTTATATTTAACAGCCTCTTTGGGCCTTAGCAAGCAGGTGGAACTCCTTATATGTGAGATGAACACTCTCTCTGATATGCTGTATGAGACCAAATAGTCACAACACAACCTATTAGCCATACCTTAGCATGTCTGAGAGTAGTCTACCTCAAGACCAGAATTTGTCACATTTATAAAACCACAGTGTCTTCTTTTATTATTTCTATTATTAAAAATATATTGAGGCAATTCTTCATATACTTGGAACATATGAAATTTGTTTTCCTTAGATTTTTAGTGCCTTCCAGATTTACAATAATATAAAATAGATATGGTCACTGCCTTAAAAGAGAACAACTGGAAACTACTCTCAGCAATTTACTTTGTAAATGAAATCTGTTGCAGTTGTTTCCTTCCAGGTTTTATAGTGTCTGAGGAAAGCCAGAAGTGCCTAAACCTTCCACATAATATGTTGTGCAATATGAAATTTTCACATTAGAAAGATGTAACCCAAATTTTAAATAATTTAATCAGAAATGCATAGATAAATGGGAAACACAAAAGAAAAAGCTTTAATCATATTGGTTGCTTTCTTATTTTCTAATTAATAAATAAGAAAGATAAACTAGTATTCTGAATAAAGTTAAAATATTTCTTCCTACCACATCAAGCTATTATATGCTCATATTCATAGATTGAACCATATAAATATAAACTATTATAAAATGTAGTTTCTACCACCCTAGGATAACTAGTTTTAACAAATCTAGCTCAATTGAAAGATAGGTTATATTAAATGTGTCCTTAAAATAAAAATACAGGAGAGGTAATTGCATTTACTCATAATCTAGAAACTATTCATTAATGACTCTACCACCATTTGCTTTTGTGTTTCAAATAGACTATGTAATAGTTAAACATTATATTTACTATTATGAAATATGATGGTGAATTAAGGATAGTCCCATTAAACCAACAAATCTAATTGATTCAGTTTCCAGTAACTCACAATAAGTGCTAATTAAGTCAGGAATAGGAATCTAGTTTGCCTTGAACTATCTAACAGGTCGGGATTAAAGGTACCTTGAAAATTAAAATATAGATAATATTTTAAGCTTTTGTATTTGCCACAAGCAAATTAATAGGCTAAGCAAGAATGCTGGAGGGAAAACATTAAGTACTGAAGAAAGCAAAAATTTTCAATCTTTTGGAATAACTTTTCCAGTATACTTACATAAATAAAATATATGCTAATGTATTTCTTTTTATCTTTTTCTTAACTATTAATCTTTGCCTCCTAATCTTTGGTAACACTTGGTTCACCTGGTTCTAGTACTTGTTCTGTATTCAAAAGTTATGAAAGTGGTTTCTTTCTCTATGTAACCAAAGTATGCCTCTTAGTCCCAAGTCTTTCAATCATCGAGGTCACTCTGTACTACTTTACATGGAGAACCAGCATTTTCACCATGGCCCCCACTCATGTCCCCAGCTCAGGATCTCCAACAATTCTCAGGTTTGTTATAGTTTTTCTAGGTCATCCTTGGCACTGATTTCCATTCTGTTGGATTCTTGATCTATACTCTTTGTATTACTTTTTGTAGTAGCTGTCATCTTTATTGTAGCCTCACCCCAAGCTGGACTCTCATACCATTATTTCCCCATAGTACTATAAAACCCAGGTCTCTTGTGTTTAACAGACTTTTATCGATGACCTGGAGTATTGGAGAGGTAACATTCTAGAGCCTAGAATGTTAGGCTACTAGCCTTGACTGTCCTGAACATTTATTGGCCATTCCTGGTCACAGTGTCTCCAGGTTCTTGGCTTCTTTCTCTAAATAGACCTCTTTACAGTGTTCTCCTTCTTCTTCTAAGTCCCCCAACTCTTGCTCCATGAGCTGCTGTCAAGCTCAAAACTCTTTTCACTGCGCATTTCATTATTCCTTTGTTCCACCCTCACTCAAGCTGTGGCACCTTTCTCAAACTAAAGCCAGAATATACCTAAACAATTGAATTATCTGCTGAGGAGATGAATTGTGACACTCTTTTAGAAAGCAGAGGCAACTTACTTAAATAGCCATATTTCCCTCACTTGACATTTGAAAGCCTTCTTTCATTTATTCATAATCTTTTCTAATCAGTTTGAACACATGCACAGTTTTGGCAGATAGCTAAGATTGTACACAATCTTTTAAATGTTAAATCTAGTCTTGTACATGGTAACAAATAAGTGTTTACTAATGTCTACTTGTCCAGGTAATTTCAAGCTCGTTTTCATCATAACTGAAGCCTATAGAAATGCTACACATTTTATTAGAGTTTACCCTGTCTTATATGTACTAAGTCAACATAAGCTAACCATAAGAACTTAAGTGAACTGTGAATCTTTTCCACTAGGATGCAGTTATTTGAAAATATTTAGCTTTGATAGCTAATTTGATTACCTTTTTATATCTTTTTACATAGTTTTGTGTGAGAATAGAAAAGAATCCTGGCCTTGGCTTTAGTATCAGTGGTGGAATTAGTGGACAAGGAAATCCATTCAAACCTTCTGACAAGGTAAGAAATGAATTTCTTATTGACAATTTTAATTATAAATATACTGTCTTCTATGAGATAACAAAGGTTTGACAAATTTTAAATGTTTTTACTATGCTTTAATGAGCTAGCTAACTGTGAAGTCAGTTAGAAACCTTGTCAGCACAGGGAAAAAAGAAATCACTGCAAAATATGTTTAAGCCTTCTATTTGAAAGGAAATGTTTTTTTGTTTTGGGGGGGGGGTTTGGTGGTTGGGGTATTTTTGCTTTGTTGGCTTTACATTTGTATATATTTGTAAAGAAAACTAGAAAGACAATTTCTAACAAGGTGTTTTCAAAAGTTTACTTGCAAATTATTTATTTATTATTTAGAAAAATGTTTTCTTACAGTGGCAGAATGATTAAACAGTGATTCAATGTCAGGCCAAGCTGACTGACATCTCTTCAACTCATCAGGCTTGTAAAGAATTTCACTAATAGAATTAATTGTAGAATTGAAAAAACACAGAAAACAAATTTTCTATGAAAAAATCAGAGTTGGCATTACCAGAAGAATCAGGCCCTCCTCTCATGCTTATCCCCACTTGTCAAACCATGGGATCAAGGTACACCACCACCCCCAACTCTAATGTCAGCCATCACCTGGACATCCCACATGCTCACATTGTGGACTGTCTGATTCCAGTGTGGACTATCTGAATTTTATATTTTAGAAAGTTTACTCTGAGCTATATAACCTGCCCTGCTACCACCAATGTTTAATATTCTCAGTTTTGATTCAATTAGTAATAATAATTTGATGATAATTGAAACCATTTACTTTTGATTTCATCAATTTAATTGCATTAGGTGAACATCATAAAACTTTGGAATGATGAAGAAAGACAAAAATTTCATATGACCAAAACCTCCACAGGCTCTCGATTTACCTTTGAGTCACAACCTGGTCCAGACCCTTTCAACTCACCACTATTATAAAAGTAACCCAAATATCAATTTTTGATTAAGAGACCTGCTTCTGAAAAATGTTGGATGCCCCTGGAAATTTCTATAGCCTGAAAGAGTCTTTAATCTTATATTTTCCTCCACTTTTTCCCATTCATCTTGTTTCTTATATTCTTTCTGCCCTTTGTCCTTTCCTTTCTGAAGAAGAAAGGCAGAAGAGGAGGTTGGACTAAAAGGATGAATTTTTCACACTATTTTATACATTAGGAAGGAAGGGACCAGAAAAAATTTCTAGTGACCATGGAAAGGTAGCTCCTTTAGCCAACAGGCTAGAGCCACTATGCACATATAAGGAATATATATGAAGCAGCCCTACATAATTAGGGAAATGCCAGTTAGAAATGTCTGTGCATTTCCATTTTAAAATGATGTTGAGGATAACTATTGGTTTTGTAGAATTAAAATATTCATGGCTTAGTTGGACCAACTGTTTACTTAATATTAATAAATTACTAACACATCTTGAGACAAAAAAACAAACATTCAGAATTATCAGAAATGTGTATGATAGTATTTTTTAAAACCCCAAATCATTATGTCTTACTCATCTTGACCCCTTTTTGCCTCTGGTTTTACATCTCCTCCATAAATTCTTTCAATGAAAAGTTAGTAACTTTATCATTCTTAAGATAAAATTTCAAAGTTAAAATTTTAAAAACATGTTTTTCTCTCCTTTCTCACCAGTGTATAAATTTTTACTATATTTTGGATAATAGGTATTTTAAAATTAAGGTAATAGGTATTTTAAATAGGGTAATAGGTATTTTAAAATTAAAGATGAACAGATTGCTAAATAGTCAAGATGTCAGAACACTGTTGCATTTATGCTATTTTCAACTTCGTGGGACTAGATCTGAAGTTTTTAAATCATTGCCTGTAATTCTTCCACTATGATGAATATAATCATTTTGTAACTCTTAATTTCTCATTTCTAACATTTTGATGACTCTAGTGAGGCTGAACTATGTCTATAAATCTAATAATTTGCTCTTTTGGTTAAATGTAACAGATATAAAGCTTGAATTGTATCATGTGTTCATTGAAAGATTTCCCCTCAAAAGCACTTTTCTTTGGCTCATTACACTCTAAAGCACTTCGCAATCTGAAAAGTGAATCTCTGTTATTGCAAAATGATGGGAATAACTAGAAGTTGCAAATCTACAGAAGAATCTCAATACTGCTCTTAATTTATTGACCACCAAACCTATGCTGGATACTCAGTTAACAGTGCTCAGAGGATCTACAGACACTTGCTCTGACAATTTACACAATAATTTAGTCCATTCACAAGGAAAGGGATTAATCTCTTGGAAATTCAACTGCAATTTTTTAGTCCCAGTACACAGTTCTTGTAAAATTTAGAGCAGAACCCAATGCCTGTATCTATCCCAAAACACCGAACAGTAAGAAAATGAAAATGAACTAAAATACTTCTCTCTCCAGTGTTGAAAAACAGACTGGTTTTTCATGAGTTGGCTAATTTACATCTGGAGGTAAGAAGAAACAAATTAAACAGATGTTTAAATTTAACAGATACTGCCTGAGTCTGAGGTAGATGCTTTATAAAGAGACAAGCCATGCAAAAGTTCAAACTTTAATATGATACATACTTTCTTCCAATAAACAAGTCCTGGATTGTTAGAAATATGCTCAGAAGCACACTATATTATTTTCCTTACTGTTTGAAAGTTTTGCTACTCAAAATTCCAAGGATCTAAGAACATCTGAATGTCTTAAGGAATTGAGGACTTTCTATAGTAAAGTAACCAATAAATTTATTCTATTCTCTTCATGACCAATGTGAGACAGCATCTAAACTGATTACAGCTAGACAAAGAAAGCCTGAAGTTATCCCAAAAAGCTGACAATAGGGACTGGGACAAAAATGACCTGTGTTGTTCAGTCTGGCAGAAATTCTGGTCTAAGTTCTGGGGTAGTGTAAGATTAATGCGGAAAAACACTTGGGACAGCCAAAAGTTAACTGAGACTTTAGGGAGGATTCAGGATTAAGCCAGATGTGAATGAGTATTTTGTATCAGATTTCAAGGGTTTAGATCAGCATATGGACTGGCAAACTTCACACTCCCCTCCAAGCCCCAAGGTAATTCCAATCAAATATGGTCTCCTCAGGTTAAAGGGAGGAGCTGATTGTCAGAACAATGTTTAATAGTTGAAAACACCAATTCACTCACCATGGAGCTCATTATTTTGGAATTCTTTGCCAACTGAAAACTGCTTCTATGTGCTTGGAAAAAGAAATCTGTAGGACAGTGAATGGAAATGGCGCTATTGTAATGCTTGTCTCTGCCCTCTCAATGAAGTGAATGGAAGCCATGATATGGTTTATTACAACAGAGAAACATTGCTGTCAAGATGGCCAAATGCTTCAGAAAGATGAAGGATTTTGATCCAACAAATCTGATAATAAAGCAGTAAAAACAATAACTTTTATGGAGTATCTACAATATGCTGGGCACTCTATTAGATTCTCTATATACATGAACTTAAGAGAGCTTCATTAACAACTTCTGTTAGGTGAGTAGTAGCAGTATTCCCCATTTTATTGAGGCCCAGAGGAGTTAATTAACTTTCTCGAGGTCATTTAAGCTGATCTGTGGTAGACAAAATTTGAAACCAAACTGATCTGACTCGAAATCCTTTTCTTTTAATAAGGACTGTAATTCATGTCTCTATCTGCAAATGCTATTTAGCAGAAGAGGCATATGACAAATTTATACCCTGTAGTGTTGAGACTAATATGATATTCTAATATTGAAAGTATTACAGAACCCTCTAATTAGTTGTAGTCTACATATTTGCTTTAATAAGTCCTTGGAAGTCAGCATGTATTCTCTATTGAACCTAGATAATTAGGAGCATACTGTACAGAGTGGATTACTAAGCAATTATATAACTTCTGGACTAAGGTATCATTACAGTGGTGATTCTGCCAATGAAGAAGCCAAAAAATTCTTTGCCTATATTTAAGCACTCATAAAATAATTATTCATGACTGAAAATTTCAAGGAATTTACCAGTACAATTCAACAGGATGTTTTTAGAAAGAAGAAACTGGATAAATAGATGACTGATACCATGCTGCTGTAGTATTTTGTAAGGCAACCCAGGACTCTGCAAACGAACACATTTTTAATAATGAATTCACAAAGCTCATCATTCAGAGACTAATATCCCTCCTTGCTCTACTTGAGGAAAGAAGGACTAAGCACCTGGATTTTAAAGACATTAAAGAAGACTCATAGCCCCTTTCTCTACATGTAAAAATATTTCACTGAACAGTCCCATGAACAATTCTTCAGGCACAGGATCAAAATGAACAAGTGCATTATGGATCCAGCCTATACTCAAAGGACTTGACAGCAATAAATATACACACTGGGGCATTCAGAATCACTTATTCTCCACAGTTTATCATCAACACCTAAGCTCAGCAGATGCCCAAGAGCTCACCCATATTTCCACCAAGTTGGACAATCTGAACGTAGTCACAGAAGTGATAGAAGAAATAAATCCATGTTCTTTTCTAAATTAAAAAAAAATTTAAATTAAAATCTTTAACTGATTGTTATAAAATATCACACAGTGACACCATTCTCAATTCTAGTGATTTTCTAAATATATTGTTGAATTAAAGTATCCCAATCAATGAATGTTCTTATTTAAAATGGTACTTTTTAATCACTTCATTTTTTCACATGTATGCCCCAGTGATATTTTGCCAGTGGTACAGGCAAAATTCCAAGCCATAGAAACAATATCGGAAGCATGGCAAATATAAAATATAATCACCAATAAACTCTAAATAAATGTCCTAGAATTTCAGAATAAATTACTATAACTTATTTACATTACTTTAAAATTATTGCCTCTAGATGCCCAAACGGGACTTAAATCTCTCCTCTTTCTACACAACCTTCCACCACTAGGAAAAAATAGAGCTTTTTTCTTTGTGTGGAAATGGGTATCGCATCAAATAAAAGTTTTTATATGATTAA